GTTCAGGGTTTAGGGTTTAGGGTTTAGGGTTTAGGGTAACCCTCGAGAAAGCTAAGGCAACATGGAGACCCTGGCCTGGGCGAACTTTCAAAAAGAAGTCGGACCCTAGGTCTACTTCTTGGTGGCCCAGTGGTACCCTTTTGCCCTTGTTGTGGTTGTAGGTTCCCTTATTTACTAGTAGTAACGTGACCAACCCCAAAAGGGTACCCTCAACCCTAAACCCTAAACCCTAAACCCTAAACCCTAAACCCTAAACCCTAAACCCTAAACCCTAAACCCTAAACCCTAAACCCTAAACCCTAAACCCTAAACCCTAAACCCTAAACCCTAAACCCTAAACCCTAAACCCTAAACCCTAAACCCTAAACCCTAAACCCTAAACCCTAAACCCTAAACCCTAAACCCTAAACCCTAAACCCTAAACCCTAAACCCTAAACCCTAAACCCTAAACCCTCAACCCTAAACCCTAAACCCTACCCGCATTATAGCGTGGTGACTGGGCTACCAGGACTAAGCGGCTGGCTAAATCTCGTGCCTCTCTATGAAGCCTACGGCGAGACATGAGCGAATTTGCTAGCGATACCTAACCCCGGAAGGGATCCCCTCCCCCCTTCCGCGGTTTAGGGTTTTCTGAATGGCAGGAGAACTTTCTCGAGGCTGTTGGATGGTTGGCCGTGGACTCATCGTTGCCGAACCATACAAAGAATAGGAGGCTCTAGAGGGCATAGCCCCTAAATTCTGGCTGGTTCTTAGTAGGGAATGAGGGAGTGAGGTACCCTATATAATCCCTTGAAGGGTATATATACACATATATATATATATATGCTACCATATATATATATATATATATGTAGGGCCCTAATTTATAATCCCTTAAAGGGTATATATATATATATATATATAGAGGGTACCTCATTCCCTCATTCCCCACTAAGAGCCAGGGAGTAGATTGTAGCGGCCCGCGGCCCCCAAAACCCCAAAACCCCAGGCAGGTATCCTTAGACCCCGGAGCCTTGAAAGCCCTGCAGCCCAATAGTAGGGTTTAGGGTTTAGGGTTTAGGGTTTAGGGTTTAGGGTTTAGGGTTTAGGGTTTAGGGTTTAGGGTTTAGGGGTTGGGTGCTTAGTCACCCATGATAAAGTGTAGCTAGAACCCACATAAGCGCCCCTTAAGTACCCTAATAGGGCTATACTTGGGTTATAAGTGCAGTTCTAGGTGGGTTTCTGGGTACCATGAACCTCCAAGCACAACAAGGCCTTCGCCACTGCCTTGGTCACCTTTACCTGTGGGTGCAGACCTTGGCTTATGGAACTGTGCGGGGATCGGAAGGCTTTGCCATCACAGGCTCTAAGAATCAGGGTGTAGGGTTTAGGGTTTAGGGTTTTGGGTTTAGGGTTTAGGGTAGCACGGACAGGCGCCCGAGAGAATGCACATAACAGATGGGCCAGCAGCGAGGTCGAGCACCTTTGCATGAACCTTTTTGGAAACAGTTTTACAATGTGTCCGTTTCCCTTTGCGACATGGGTGTCGTGCCCAGAAAGCCGCTGTAACCAAGACTCAAACATAGGAACACCAACAGCGTTTGCTTAGGTTAGACACGAACTTCAAAAATGTAACACGTGCGGATACTATGGCGGTGGGTCATCAATTTACAGACAACCCCCAGGCATAAGCCTAAGTGGCCTAAACCTGGCTTGGCAGTTCATGTATGGCAAATCAGTGATGTCATATGATCCGCGCCTTCATTGGCATAAAAGTGCGTGCAGCTGCAGCTACCCTGCTTATGTCCCCAGAAGTGACCATGAACTTGAAACCTATTCTTACTGGGTTGGCTACAGCACGCGTTTACCGCCATTGCTTCTTGCGGATTGTGCGTGCACATGGTGGTGATGCGACTGTTGCAAGCTGATGTCACCTAACCCTAAACCCAGTATCTTGCAACACAGGTTTGTGAAGTGGGTCCACTCCGATGGCTTGAAGCGCCGAGACGAGGCGAGCCCGCTGGGAGGAATCTTTTAGGGTTGAGGGCGTTTAGGGTTTAGGGGTTAGGGTTTCCCCACCACCTGCTGCAACCGTCTATTCCTCATGCTTCAGTAGCTCTGGCCCAGATAGAGCCTGCACGGTATTGTGGGTACACGCCATGGCACAAGCCTTCCCGCAGGCTTTGAGACACCTCCGCACGGAAATTGCGGCGACTTGCCTTCATGTAGAGATGGGAGGAGCTTTAGCTCTAAGTCCCCCAGTTTCTTGAGAGTTTGTGCGCTGGAATCGCGTGCAGCGACTTCAGTTGAGCCCAGGTCCTGAGTGGCATGCCGCTGAAGGTACGCGTGCAGCATCATGTAGCGTCCTCCGGGGCCCCTCAGGGCTTTTCTCTTTCATTACTTGGGGTTTACAGGGTTTGTAGGGTTTATAGGGTTTATAGGGTTTATAGGGTTTATAGGGTTTCAACCCCTAAACCCTAAACCCTAAACCCCAAACCCCTAAACCCTCAACCCCTAAACCCCAAACCCCTAAACCCCAAACCCTCAACCCCTAAACCCCAAACCCCCTAAACCCTAAACTCCTAAACCCTAAACCCTAAACCCTAAACCCTAAACCCTAAACCCTAAACCCCCAAACCCCCAAACCCCCAAACCCCCAAACCCTAAACCCTAAACCCTAAACCCTAAACCCTAAACCCTAAACCCTAAACCCTAAACCCTAAACCCTAAACCCCTAAACCCTAATTCTTAGGGCTTGCGGTTGACGTTTGGGAGGTTGCCGGCAGCCCTGTGGAAGCCCAGCACCTGGTCGGAGCTCTGGGCTCAGCCGAGCTTGTGAGATGAAGCTTGCTGTTTAGGGTTTTAGGGTTTAGGGTTTAGGGTTTAGGGGTTTAGGGTTTAGGGTTTGGGGTTTAGGGTTTAGGGTTTAGGGTTTAGGGTTTAGGGGTTTAGGGGTTTAGGGTTTAGGGTTTAGGGTTTAGGTTTTAGGGTTTTAGGGTTTAGGGTTTAGGGTTTAGGGTTTCCGAACTTAGGGGACCCCTAAGATGGACCCCAAATAGTAGGATCCCCTGATAATAAGGACCCCAAGAGGGTACCCTAATATCGCAAACCCCATGTGGGGCTTTCCGAAATTAGGGGGTACCTTGTTCGGGTTCTTATAAAAAGGGACCCTACTATTCGGGGACAAAATGAGGGGTCCCTGATTTTCGTAAACCCCCATGTGCGTGGAGAAGAGACTCAGTGGCGATGCCAGAACATTCAAGACAGGGTTTGGGTTTAGGGTTTAGGGTATATGGGGTTTGAGGGTTCAGGGATTCAAGGTTGAGCGTGCGCCCGCAATACCTTCTGCATTTGAGACCTGCCTGGTCAGGACACTGCCTCTGGTTTACACTGACCGGATTGTACTCCCACTGAGCATGTACATAGGTCAAGTGGCCTGGATCGCGGTCAAAGGCTTTGGAGCACCATCGAAGTGTCATGCGCTGCGGCCTCACCAAGCCCTACAACGCAGGGAGACGAGCTTTTTTTTGGGAAAGCCTCTGGCATCAGGGCCACTTGCTCTTCCCACGGCAAAGTCGTGGGACTGCGCCGCAGTGTGCAGCAAAAGGAGGCATTTGCCAGGTGCCTTGTTTCGGGGGTAATGGTGTGGTCGTTATACAGGGTTTACGGTTGTTTTAGTTTTTAGGATCGGCACACTGTGGGACCAGTGCTGAGAAGCTTTCGTTTGTGTCTGCCCCTCTCAGTCGAGCCACATGCTGCAGCCGTGAATAGAGTTCGATGCCTGAGACTGCTTGGACCGCGCCAATGAGAGCGTGGTGCGCATCTCAGCTTCCGCAGCATCATGATGGCTTGGGGTATCATGGACAGAGACCCTAAACTACCCTAAACCCTAAACCCTAAACCCTAAACCTTAAACTCTAAACAAAGGGTGCCCCATCGTGCAGTCCAGCCAAGGCCATAGAGCAGGGGAGCCGGAGATGTCAGAGGCCAGACGGCTTGCCGGTCTCAGAACTATTATCATTGTTATCATTAGTATTATTATCATTATTATTATTAGTATTATTACTATTATTTATTCTTCTTCTTATTATTTTTTATTATTAATATTCTTAATGTTATTGTTATGATTATGATTATTATTCTTACTATTACTATAAGTGTATAAGATTCTGTAGGCCCAGTGTGCCGAGCTGAGGTCAGTGTCACGATTGCACGAGGCTTCCGTCCCGCAAAGAGACAGCTGAAAGATTCTGAGAGCTCTTCCTTGCAGGACATGCCTCCCACAGAAACCGCAGCCGGCGAGGCTGCAGGACACCCGAGGGTGTTGCGCGGTACCACGCGTTTTTGTGCCCGTCTACAGGCAGTAATGGGCAGCAATATGGTTAAGCGTACTTAGAGTGATGTTCAGACCTCGACCCCGAGGCACTGTTTCAGAAAAACAAAATGCTGTGGCCCTGGTACCCTCTCCCCCGAGCCACGAGTGGTCACCAGACCACCAGTCTACGAGTCAAGTGGCATCCTTTAAGGTCCCACATACCCCCGCCCCACCCCTTGTAAAGACTCAGGGGGCCGCTCGAAGCCGCTTACGGCATATCCCCAGCTCAATAGTTGCATTAACTTACAGTAAAAACGCTGTATAAGAGAACGGTTTTCCGGCGATAGGGTACCCTAAGTTTCTCAGTTTCCATTACCCATGTACCCGGGGGGGTTTGAGCCTAGGGTAGGCTTGGTTTCTAAACTAATTTCTTAAGGGAGTACGCTATACCACTAGACCAAACCCATGTTCCGGGAATGGTGGAAGGGTTCCCGAATGTGACTCCCGCGCGTTTTGGGGTAGGGTCAGGCCAGAGGCGCGGGGGAGTCACGTTTTGGAGCTTTTCAGGGCGACTCCCGCCGCGTTTGGGGTAGGGTCAGGCCGGAGGCGCGGGGGAGTCACGTTTTAGAGCTTTTCAGGGCTGAAAACCTCTAGAATGTGACTCCCGCGCGTTTTTAGGGTAGGGTCAGGCCGCAGGCGCTTGGGAGTCACGTTTTAGAGCTTTTCATGGCTGAAAACCTCTAGAATGTGACTCCCGCGCGTTTTTGGGGTAGACCCGAGGGGTTGCGGGCAGGATTTTTTTAGAAACTGACCCCAAAACACTAGGGTACCCTAAGTTTCTTAGCTAGAAGGCAACCGCAAATCGACCAATATTCCCGGGTCTAGGGGCTCAGTTTCTTAAACAGTAGTTTCTTATACAGTGGTTTTACTGTAGTGTTCAACGCCTTTCATTTAAGCTATAATAAGGACCCCAAGAAGCTACCCCCTAACATCGTAAACCCCCCCTCCCCAGTTTTCTTATGACTAGATTGCATCCTTCATGTAGGATGAAGGGGTATAAAGAGGGACCCCCAGAAGAGACCCTTCATCTTCTTCCCCAAAATATCCTCTATATGTAGTCCCTACATGCCTAAGTAGCCCCTAAGTAACCCCCCTAAAAAAGAACCCCGAGGTCCCTTTTGAAGGTTCCCTCCTTTAGTCCTTTGATAGGAACAGCCTCTGAAGACTTGCATAAAAAAAAAAAGAAGGCCACGACAAAGCACCAAGCGCCGAGCTCGAGGCCTTTCTCTCTTGTTCTGGTGCCTTGCGGAAGCCTCTGAAGCCCTAACCAAACCCTAAAAACCTACTTTCTTGTAGGTTATCCTAAGAATCCTATAAGGGCCTTTTAGAATAAGAACCTGCCAAAAAAAGTGGGTTTTGGGTTCTTGAGGTAAACCCTAAACCCTGAGCCTTCAGCAACCCCATGCTCGGGATTGCAATAAGTGGTCCATGACAGAGTGAGAGCGGCTCTGGGGTTTCGGGCTCAGGGCTTGGGGTTTAGGGTTTAGGGTTTAGGGTCCGAGGATCGGGTGTTGGCTCATGTCGCGGATTTATTTATTAGGTGAGGTTGGATCAAACCAGCACAACCAAGCATGGTCCTAGACCATCCTTGGCGATCTTGGCAGGAGTCTTGAGACAGAGATCACAAGCAGCATGGGGTTTAGGGTTTAGGGTTTACGGTTTAGGGTTCAGGGGTACAAAAAGCACGAAGAGTAAGCAGAATCAACCTCTGCCCCTTGAATCGGGGGTCTGATGCCACTGGCCAGGCATGCAGCCAGTTTGTCACGGAGGTGAGGACCAAGATGGACCGCCACCAGCGTGAGCTGCTGCAGCGGCTAAACTTTCAGGACGAGGCGCGCTCAGTTTAGGGTTTATAGGGTTTAGGGTTTATAAGGGTTTAGGGCTTAGGGCTTGCAATGTTGAAAAGGTTGGCTTCCAGGCCCTTTGGGAACGGTGGCCATGTGTCCGTGCCGAGATGCTGGAGACATTTCACACATGTGCATCCTAGTAGGCGGAACTGACAATCAGTGTTTGTTTGCTACGCCACAAGCCATAGCTCGATGCCCAGTTAGAGGGTTGCCTGACCAGCTTCCTGCTCGACACAGCGGCCCACACATCAACGGACTCGGCTTGATTCTGCTTAGGTTGGTTTTTGGCTTGTATCTTATAGGGTAATAAGGGATATATACGGGTCCCCTTTAAGGGCCCATACTAAGAGACCACGTACCTACCCTAAGATTGCACTGTTCTTCTGTGGTTCAGCTGCTCAAGAATTGAGCGGACAACCTTCGGCAAAACCATGTCCCGACTGCACAGCTGCTTGGAGAAGCATGCCTACACACAGCTGCGGCCTGGAGATGTGGGGCCACCGCTGCGGCCCAAAAGCCCACCGAGGCGCACCTGTCTGGTACCCCGAGGCAGGGTATGGTATGGGTTGAGGCATGGCCTGATCTTGGAGGTTCATGGTACTTAGTAACCCAACTCTATCTGTACTTATAGCCCAATTGTAACCCTATTAGGGTGCTTAAGGGGCTTATATGTGGGTTATAACTACACTTAGCATGGGTTACTAGGTACGTTGAACCTCCAAGTAAGATGGTTCAGGATTCTCAGGGATGCTAGCCTAGTTCCTTGATCCCGCGCAGGCGATCCACGCGTCGCGCTAGTGCCGAGTCGCCTGCGGCGGCCGAGATACGTCTGGGAGGCTTCTGAACGGCATGGAGGTGTTGATGTTGCGATTGACATCTCGGTCCCTGCCTCTGAGAAGGAGGCCAGGCCCATGCGGAATCCAAGATCTGACCTCTCGCGGCTTTTGCAGGAGGTGCGTTTCCCGGAGCCTGAGTACTTCAGAAACGTAGACTGCATGGGTATACCCGGCCTTTTGTCAATCCAAGAGTGTTTGGGCATAATCGACATCGCGGAGTCTTACGTTTTCCGACCGGATTATCGCATGCATGTCAAAGACATGCAATGCTTGGACATAAGGGACGAAGACTTTGCCCGAGGTCTCTGGGAATCAGGGATTGGACAGGTGCTGCGGACTGTCTCCGTTGATGGCTTGGTGCCCTATGGCCTCAATGATGTGATCAGGATCCAGAAGTTCGTGCAAGGAGGACATCTCTCCAGACACATCGACAGATCCATCACACGGGACGGCCTGATCTCC